CCATTGGCTATTACATTCCAACAATTTTCTTTGTATCCATTCCACTTCGATGTGATACTTGCAAATAACATTTAGATTTTCATTTCTGTAATTAGTTTTTCATTATTGTAATTTTCCGTGTTAACATATTCGATACTCCAATCATCGACATAATCATTTTTCGTCTGTTTTGCGTTTCTCTCTGCAGGGCCCCTTTCGTGGTTTTGCCTGAATATGATACTGTCCCTTACGCCCACACCAGCCAGAACAATTTGTGCTTAAACGTGTCTATAAAGTATTCGTATATTCTCCAGGTCACGGTGTAGGCTACCTCTCCGTAGAAAGTGAGGCTTTCAACGAATAACGCATAAACATAATCTTGTAAACACTCATTTTTTCATGATGATTCATGTTGATAACGTGAATTAGTTAAATACTCCTGAATGAACCCGTTCTCTGGCGACATCTGGAAGTCTATGCTTGACGGCAAGGTTCCCAACTTCCCACCCGAGCCTCAGTTGCTCATCAGTCGTTCGTGAGACTACGTACCAACAGTACAACAAACATGTCTGACAGTCTTGACGGTTGCCTTAGTTGTCTGGATGTATGTGGTTATTGCTGTGAGTCTTCTGCGCTTCTCTGCCTTGTCTGTGACTGCTGTTACGGTAAGCATTCTTTGTTTAAATTGTAAAGGATTGTAGAAATGAATGGAGGGTATGCTTGCTAGCAGTTATGTGGGAGTTCCAGTGTGGTGTCATGTATACCCCCATAAAACTTATGTGTGGGGCCTAGTACTTAGCATTGATACAGGAATACAGTTTGTACATGTAAAAGCAGATACAGCATGTTCAGTTCCCAAAGTGAGGAAAACAAACAACGCTTGATTTTTTTTCTTTTTGTACATAATCTATGAGGGAATATATTGTAGATTCCAGCGTTGGTGGTCAGTCGCTCACGTGATATCGGTCAACTCGTGCGTGTTTTTACTGATCCCGGTTTTTAAAATAAGCTCTCTCAACTAGCGCGAATGGAAATGCGGTGGTAGGGAGGAATGTTCATGGAACAAGCATCGTCGGAAAGACATCCCTTTTCCTATTGCAGTACAATTGCTATTTCATTTTCAGCACCAGACTCAGTAGTAACCGCCCTCTCAGTTGCAAGGGCTCACCGACCTCAACAAATAGGTAACTGAGGAATTGCGCTGTTTACACAATGTCCTCGAAGGATGGGGAAAGGAGGGTTGCCCCTGCCCCCCCCCCCTTCATACGCCTATGTAATTAATTAACCAGCTTTTTATTTATAAAGTAAGGGTATTTCTTGCGGTGTTTGATTGTAGCAAATGTAATAATAAATTAACTCTCTCAGGATACCTCACCTGACAGCTCCCTAATTGTTTAGCTTATACTGACATACATGCATAAATATATATACATATGGATATATATTATATATATTATATATATGAAAATAATGCGCATGTTGTGTGCGTGTGTCTGTTTGTGCGCAAGTGCTTACCGAATGCGTGGTATCTGCAGGAATCAGGAATCCCATGACCCGCCTTCCGCCCGCGAAACGTTAGCCGCGGTAATCCCTTGCCCGTTATTGTCATGGGGGGGGGGTGGGGGGGGGGCTTAGGAGAAGGGGACTGGGACCCAATGCTGGGGATCTCCCGTACCTTGTGCCTCAGCCGTCAACTCATTTCATTTTGCACGCTTTCCCCCCACCTGCTTTTTTCGTTTCCGTCCCTTCTCCAACTCCTGCTATCCTTACTAGGGTGTGCTGAAAGGATGAAAGGCTGACTTTTTGGCAGTCCTGAACGGCCATGGGCCCCTACCCCTCAAGGGGACCCTGAGGGGTGAACTGTTTCTTTCCCAAACATAGTCAAGGGTTCCCATGACCAGTAATGAAGATGTAATACCCTTATTAGGTGCAGTGAGGCTTGCCCCTTCATCAAATAATCCCACCAATTCAAACTCCCGGTTCCCCGACCCTGAACTCTAAACACTGCAACTACGACCCACTCCTTAATGCCTACTTGTACATTATCTACCCAAGTCGAGGCTCAATCTCCAGGAGACATTCCTACTCTCCCAACTGCCTCAACTTCATCCCCTTTACCCCCAGAAGCTTCTTCATCAATCACCCCATCCTCCCTTATTACTACTTTACAGCCTTATTCTCCGCCTCTCCGTAATACTATCCCCCCTCAACTCCCTCTTACACACGTCCCCGACCTTTTACCCCCCCCCCCCCCTACAAATATCTTAAATACCCTATTTAGCCCAGCCGAATGGGACCGATTTCCGTAGACATGGCCTTCCCTTTCATGTTTACATTGGTGGAGAATCCGTCCCTGTCCGACCATACCAACCTCCTCCCCGTCAATGAAAAAAACTGTTGCTGTTGAGGACATCCTGCCAAATACTGCCATTGATCTTTGTGTGCCCAGCCTGGTCATAACCGATCAAACTGCTCTGCATAATCACACGCATGTGCTAACTGCGGCGGCCACCACAATGCA